ATTTGTTCCAGATAATTGTGCAACATTTCATTTGAGACATTTGATATGATTAATATTTTCCATTGCAAATAAAATACGGATTTATGAGATTTGCGTTACATTGTATTCTGGTTTTATTTAGATGTTATACAAAGTCCCAACTTTTTTTTTTGAGAGTTGAGGTTGTAAATCAAAGCCTAATTGTAGCTTTGGTGTTTCAAAAAACAGAACCTATTGTCTTATTGTTCTTTTTTATGCTACATCTAAAACCAGCAGCTGCTGATGTTTAAAACAAACGTCTCATTAAGAAGACATAATTAAAGTCAAATGTTCTGCCTTCTAATTTAGTAAATGCTTTGCATTTTTAGCCACTTGGCTTCAATAGGTTTTGTTTGCCCTGTCTTCTCACCATCTTCCCACGTCTATTTTCAGCCTTTTCTTTTGATTCAGAACTTTAGTTTCTTTGAGCACTCGTCCTCGTTTTCTTAATAACTCTTGTCTGCACATATTCTTTTTGAAGGTGAGGCTAGTGCGCTCCAATCCCCCTAGCCCGCAGTTCAAAGAGTCTTTCGACGCCTCCTACCAGGTGTACAAACTCTACCAGATGGACATTCACAAGGATCCTCCTGGCAAGGCCTCCGAGAGCCAGGTCAGAGGGTGGGGGGCAGAGGTCAGCCCTCTTCTACCCCGAGAGGGAGGAAGAGGGTCGACGAATCTGGGCACCTTCGGCTACTTCAGAGTTCGTTTTATCTTGCTCTGATTCATTCACTTTAAAACGAATAAAAGAAAAAACAAGTTTGGGGTTTTAATGAACAAAAGCAGATAGAAGTGATTAGTAAATTTAATTATTAAAACAGGCATTTTTAGGCTTTCCTTATATAAGAGAGCCATGATCTTAATTGCATTTCCCTTGTTAAATAAAATGAAATAACTAAATTGGTTCTCTTCTGTAAATGATAAATAATAAATTATCTTTATTAAAACTAGCAAAAATGGAAAATATGAAGAGCTAGACAACTTTACTGAAACTGAGCATAAACTAAACACTAAAAGAAGCTGAATGCTAGCTAAAAATCCAAAAATGGCTAATGTATGTTGGCTAAAAGTTTCAAAATGGTAGCTAGAAGCTAATGGGATCAAAACGCTTGCTGAAAGCAGCAAAATGTTAGCTGATAGCTCAAAGTAGCAAAAGTAAAAATACCAAAAAGATTATTAAAAGAGTGAAAAGGCTAGATAGAAGCTAAAGGTGTTAATGTGCTGGATAGAAGTTAAAAGTAGCAAAAAAGCCAACAAAAAGCTAAAAATAGCAACTTGCCAACAGCTAAAAGTTGCTTAATGCTAGCTAAAATCCAAAAATGATAAATTTATGTTGGATAAAGTTGCAAAAGACTAGCTTAAACTTAATGTAGCAGAATGGTAGCTAGAAGAAAATGGGAGCAAAACACTAGCTGAAAGCAGCAAAAAGTTAGCTGAAAGTCAGAGAAGCAAAAAAACTATTAAAAATACAAAAAAAGAGTGAAAAGGCTAGATAGAAGCTAAAGGTGTTAATGTGCTGGATAGAAGTTAAAAGTAGCAAAAAGCCAATAAAAAGCTAAAAATAGCAACTTGCCAAAAGCTAAAAGTTGCTTAATGCTAGCTAAAATCCAAAACTGGCTAATGTTTGTTGGCTAAAAGTTTCAAAATGGTAGCTAGAAGCTAATGGGATCAAAACACCCACTGGAAGCAGCAAAATGTTAGCTGATAGCTCAAAGTAGCAAAAGTAAAAATACCAAAAAGATAAAAAAAAGAATGAAACGGCTAGATAGAAGCTAAAGGTGTTAATGTGCTGGATAGAAGCTAAAATAACAAAAAGCTGAAAATAGCAAAAGCCCAGCCTAAAGCTAACATAGCAAAGGTTAGCCAAAAACTAAAAGGTGCTAAATGTCAGCTGAAATCCAAATATGGCAAATGTATGTTTGCTGAAAGTAGCAAAAGACTAGCTTAAACTTAATGTAGCAAAATGGTAGCTAGAARAAAATTGTCACAAAACACTAGCTGAAAGCAGCAAAAAGTTAGCTGAAAGGTCAGAGAAGCAAAAAACTATTAAAAATACCAAAAAAAAAAAAAAAAAGAATGAAACGGCTAGATAGAAGCTAAAGGTGTTAATGTGCTGGATAGAAGCTAAAATAACAAAAAGCTGAAAATAGCAAAAGCCCAGCCTAAAGCTAACATAGCAAAGGTTAGCCAAAAACTAAAAGGTGCTAAATGTCAGCTGAAATCCAAATATGGCAAATGTATGTTTGCTGAAAGTAGCAAAAGACTAGCTTAAACTAAATGTAGGAAAATGGTAGCTAGAAGTAAAGAGGAGCAAAACACTCGCTGAAAGCAGCAAAAAGTTCACTAAATGCTAAAAATAGAAAAAAAGRCTAGTAAAGATACCAAAATAGAAGCTAAAGGTGTTAATGTGCTGGCTAGAAACTAAAATAACAAAAGGTCAACAAAAAGCTGACAATAGCAAAAGCCTAGCTTAAAGCTAAATGTAGCAACAGGCTAGTAAAAAGCTAAAAATCTGAACTGGAAGTTTTGATATTTACATCAAATCCATCCATTTTCTTTTCCTGCTTCTCCTTTTCGAGTCTCAGGGACGCTGCTTCCTGCCTCCAGCTGTCTCTGTGAGAGACGGGGGACACTGGACAGGTCTCAGTCCGTTACAGGGACACATGGAGACAAATGAGACAATCATTCAGACTCAGTCAAACCTTGGGATAATTTAAAGTTAGATGAAGTTTTAGAGGAAAAATAAAATCTGACTCAGTGTTCGTACAATAAACATCTAATGACATAATGAATCTTTAAAGGTCTGGTCTCTAACATTGACAGATTAATTTAGGGTTGAACACTTCTTTAGGAAACAAAATAAAAGGCAGGTTTGAGAGTTTGTTTATAAATGTGAGTACAAAAACAAAAAGAGGAGCTGGTTTCCATACATGGTGGTTGGGAGCGGTGATTCTTCAGGTGTTTGAGCTGCGATTTGGTCAAATTAACTTTGTGCTGTTTGTGTGAGAGGACAGGCAGTTTGTCAGGAGATATCACCTCCCCTCACAAAAACCTTTCACTCCTGATCTGGGAATTCATAAATTTCAGATAAGCAGTGAGGTTAGGCTTCTTTTTAAGTCTGAACAGTTTGAAAAATCAAAGACACTTTGAGAGGATTTGTCCTTTTTTTTTAGACGATGTCTTCAGAGTTTAGGATTTCAGGACTCGCTGGCGTCGTGTTGAGAGACGAACTCCCAGTGATTTGCGGTGAAAACGGTGCACTAGCCTCATCCTCAAGTTTCTCATCWGTCTCCAGGACATCTGGTTGTTTGGTCAGATGTTTGTGTTCATCATACACAAAGGTCTGAAACACAACAGTTTGAATGAAGATGGAGGAGACTGATGTCCTTAACTCACTCACATATTTCAGTTTTGGTTTCTTTACCTCCCTTCGTTCTCTCTGTTCCTTACATGTGACCCATCAAATCGAAATGAGGATTAAGTCCAAAAGTGGTATGTGGAGAAATGTGCAAATATGGTGTTTTGATTAAAATGTTAAGAAAAATTGCATTTTGTCAAAACGTAATGAATCAATGTATTATTTGAATGAACTGTCTAAAAT